TACTAGTTTAAATATATACTTATCGCAATATCTTGCATACTTGATACATTACCGGGTGTATGTGTCTTACGGATCGGAATATTCAATGTTACAAGGTATAAGGCAGCCTTCGATAAAACCTTCGCTCACGCTTTGTAATTTTTCCTTTTCTTTGCTTCGATCAGCGAAGAACTGCTCGTACACGAGAGAACAGTAGCGCTTACTTATGTTTACGGTATCATTGCCGATACCGGAAATTGTAATAGTATTTCTCTATACCAAAGTAAAAGCCGAAGGAGATAAAACTTTTTGTCGTATAGAAATTTTCCTTATTATCGTTAATCTACAGCCATAAAATCAAATTTGCATCATTTGTGGCAAAATATCGGTAAATTAGTCGCTTTCGCCGAGGAAACAAAAAATTGAGGACGAGTAACACTTCTGGAAAAGAATTATCATACCGTTTATAATCAATTTGCATGGAAAGAGTTTCAACAAGCACCAAAAAATAGTACAATTTGTAAAAAGAAAGAAATAATACATGCTACAATATGCTAGATACGAAAACACTATAATAAAAATAAATAACATATAAATAATAATTATAATATATAATCTATATATGTACATTGAATTATTTAATCAACAAAGATCCACCTTCGTTATAGGCCTTTCATTTCGATTCCTTGTTAGTGTGTTCTCATATATACGGTCCTATGAGATTTAATATTTCATATTGTTTATAATATATAAATTGTATAAATACTAAAAGAAACTAAAATTAATTCTGAAAAATGTTATATATAATATATATTTAAATTTAAATATTATATATGTTCCTAAATATATGTATCATACACATATATTAGTACATACATATATATTTAATTCATTTGAAGAGAAAAATAGAAAAAATACTAGTGTCTAAATTTATAGATCATAAAAATGTTCTCACAATTTTGTCATTCTTGCCAAGAGAGATTTTCTGAAATTATTTTTACCGTGAAGTTTACAATTTCTATATGAGTGTCAAACATCACGTGTCCGCGGGTCAATAATAGGATTCAACATAGCGAATCCTTGTCCAAACAAAAGTATAACGAAATATCGCGGTATATATGTAAGTATAAAAAAAGTACGAGTGCATACGTAGATATCTGCGTGCAGCGATTACTTCTTCTTACATAAGAATACTTCCTGTTCTTACGCTAATCACTACATATCTACATAATATGTAAAACATACCGGGCCTATCACGCCTAGCGTGTCACTCGTGCGACAGAAAAAATAGCGTTGATCAATAATGACACCCTACTCCTTTTTTCTTGCTAACTAATTTTCTCATTGATTATAACATTTCATTTATTCCTATCTCTATTCATTGCAAATACAAGGACATTAAATTCAATATACAGCATTAAAAAAATTTTTTAAGATCAACGAACGATTGTAAGAAAAAGTGTATTTCATTAATATAAAATCCGCTTCAGATACAACGTGACATTTGAAATAAATTTTATAAATTGCGTCATTAATTCCTGTACTTGCTCCTTTCTCGTTAATTTTAACTTGTTATATTTTATAATTAATTAATATATTGTTATTTCTTATAGTTTGTTAATATGTCAAATAATTTTATAATTTACAGCGCGTGTTACATTATTTAAAATACAATTTCTTTCACGAGAATAAACTCAAGGACCGAAGGATTCCAACTACACAGTTGAGATATCGATTGACATTCCCATGTGGAAACGTATATCAAATACCTTTGTATGCGTGCAAAGACAGGTACACAATGCATTTTGTTAACGATCGTGGAACTCGACCGCGGACAGATAGTCCGAGGCCGACACGAACGCTAATGGTCGCAAAGTTCGTTCTTCAGTGAAACAAAAAACGTGTCTCAAGAAAGACCTCAACTATTTATAATACCTTGTATAGTTATGAATTATTCTCGGATAACTTCTTTTTTACGCTAATATTATTTCCATTATCATTATCAATGTCGATTAGAAGGACTTTGGTGCGGATCGATCGATCGACCGACCGACTCCTGAAGCCAGTTCGACTGGTAACGAATAATACAAATCTGAAACAAGCAATTCTTTGACTGACATGACACAAAAGAAAACGCGCCGATCGCGGCAATTGTTGATTCTGCTAGCGAACCCGACCAGCCGACCTTTCAAAGTTAACGTGTATCGCTTTAACGAGAATGGGTGCAAAAAATTGAACGTTCGATTTATACTTTGCACGAAGTATAATCAGGTGATTAAGATGACGTAAAAATGTTTTCAAGGAGTGAAAAGAAATGTTAAATACTTAGTACAGATAAGATGAGTACTTATAGAATAAGCTTTCTCTAATCACATAAAATACTTTAAATTCATAATGCCAAATTATATCCACTTTCAGTTATTTTTAATTATATTTATAGATCGCCATATTTATAGATCCTAATTATTAATTTGAATAATTGTAAAATAATAGAGTTAAACAAATTATCTGACGAAAATGTATTAAATTTGATTAAAGTTTAGTTTATTATTTATTAAGTGCACACGTTATGCACATGGACAATGTTTATTTTGAAACTCATTACTAAAATGGATTAATTTATATCTAGATACACAGATGGGAATTAGAAATAACAAAATGTTATTTAATCAAGAAGTTGGGATATTATTGTATTGCCTATATTTATTATATATTAATGAAGACTTGAACTCTTCCCGTCGCGTTTTCTAATTTCTTCTTTCACTTCTCCCGATTTTCTTTATACTTTCATCATCCTTTTATACGTTTTTACTTATATAAGAGAGATCATTAGTTCGGATCATATGCGCTTTGCGCGCGTTTTGAAGATGATCATGTCCTCAAAGTCTTACTTACGTAAGATGTCATAAGGTCGTAAGGAAAGAACGATAATCCCTAGTTAGTGATTCTACGACGAATTCGGGACGTTGGCATTTGTCACGAGACTTAGAATTAAAATTCTGTTAAGGTAAAGTTCTATTAAAGACGAGATCCAGGAAGAATATTATGGAAATAGTCTGTTACATCATCATGTGGTTGCAAGAATAATAAAAGCGTAACGTGACTCTCTTCGTCGGAATTAATCTTCAATCGTGACGTCTTTCTCGAGCTAGGCACGCAATCAACGATTGAAGCTACCTCTGATGAGTTTACTGATGATTGTGTGATACACGAAGACAAGCTCCGTGTTTGTTGAACGACAAATACGTATTATCGAATAACAACACGCGTGAAAACATGACAACTTGACAATTCATCAGTATATCTACAATACATTCATCATTCTGTAAACAGAAAAAAAAATCAGAGAGAATTAAGAGATGAAATTTATTGAGATGATACATGAAAAATGGAGATAAAATAAAAAAATAATCCTGCTTGATATAAAAATATACATTTCATTATCTATTCGAGATTATTCGACGAAGAGCTGGCACGCTTTGTTTTATTCTGACAAAAGATTTCCTAATTTCCAGACACGCCTGCAAATTAATCCTCATCAGATATCATGAAAAAAAAATGTTTTATGGTAAGTATCTGACTTTCTTTGATTAAAATCAAATCAAAGTTTTTACAATAAGCTTTAAAAAAATATAAAGCTACTGTAAAGTAAATAGCGCTGAGATATAATATTTATCCTTTGATATCTGATGAGGTTTAATATTATAATTCGTGCTTTACAGCGGCGATCGACAGCTCACCGAAATTATAATTTCGGGTCACGCTTCGTTTCACGCAGCGATGCAACGGGTCGGATACCTGAGTGAAAAACTTTCGGGCCACATCAGGAACTCGAGGTGAAAGTAACTGAACGAACGCCTACGAATTTGCTTCTGTCGTCGTGAGGCGACAACGTCCTTAAGGTGTCAACGTTTCATCGTCGTCGTCACAGTCGACGATGCATCGGCGCTGAAAAGGCACGAGGCAAAGCAACGTCAGACTGAATACATCGCAATGATTCAGTGTGGTCGACCGTACGCGCGATGACACATCCATTGAACCAAATTAAGAACAGCGACTAGAGCCGTGACATTACTCGCGATGATCGTATTTAATCGCAGCCTCCCGGTCTAGACATCTCGATTCATGTTCTCGAACGTGGCGTGCCACGCCGGTGGAAAGACGCAAATAAATTGTGAAATCAGTAAAATATGTAAATAATTTTAGGGATCGGTAAAGTTAAGACTGTAGAGACGCGGATTGCATAATTTTTTCTCGGAACGACTGTTATTAATGATCGATTAGTCGCCCTCTTGGACGATCCGGATTCTTGATTCTTGAACTCGGCGAACCGCATGACAAAAAATGTGTCAACAAAAGATTTGAAATATAAGAATCCATTCGCGATAAAAATCTAAAGGAATGAGTAAATTGAAGAACTTAATGATTTATCCTTTTTAAAATAATTGTGACGTTATACGGATGATCAAATCGATCACAAATCATTCGGAAATAAATTATAATTAGAGATTAAGACATAAATCGTATGAAATTTAATGGTGATAAAGTTATTTTAACCTGTCACAGTCGACTGAAGCCCATTCTCGATTCACGATCAATTATAAATAATATATTATGATATATGTGCATATATTTTTATGTATGCTTTTTTTTATGTATTTTCTCAAAACATATATTTTCCATATTACATGATTATATAAAGTTATAAACAGAATTTTATAATTATTTAGAATTGTGATATAAACTTCAAGACCTAAAGTAATTTATAGTTACGCCATCACAAAATTTTACTGTATTACTTTTTTATAAAATATTATGGATATTTCATCGATAAAATATGGATAATATTAAAGAAAGCTTGGTATTTAGCAATGTTTAATATCACACAAATAGAAATTAGTTTTTGCCCGTAACTTTTGATTTTCGATCAAATGAATCGTATAATATTTATTTACTATCACAAATATGTCTTAAATAATTCAACAAGGATTATTAAGAAATTCAAATGTATTAAGGATTACCTAAAAATCTGCAGCAGAACTCTTTCATGTTGGTTTTATTATCGTTGTGTGAATACATATTACTATGACGTCGATCGATTCGTCATCAGCAATCATCGGTCACATTACACGATTTAATCGTCAAATATGCACACTTCATGTGTAAACAATGTGACGAACATCGTTGAATACTTCAGCGATGAACACGTGGCATGCAACATAAGATATGCACGACGCTCGTTTTTTGACATCCAGTTGATCCAGACGCTTATCATGTTCACGCAATTTTATTTATTGGTAACCAAAGTAAATGTATTTTAAAAGCATATAAACAGACGCTCAAAATGTTGAACTGAATATTTTTTTAATTAAGATTACTTCCAATTCTTATTTATCGGAGTTCAGTTAGAGAATATCTAATTTGTTGATAGCACACCAGTGCGTGTAAAACGCTTTCGAAGCGCTGTTCAGATTGCACCTCCCAAAAGTGCTGTTAATTATGCACTTTTATTGCATGCGGCTAATTTCAAGTCTTGATTAAGAAATGAACACGCGCGTAAAAAGCGCTTTAAAAGCGCTCGCTCTTCCTTTACTGCACATGAAAAGTGTAGTAAATGTGCTATAAAACTGTATTTATTCTGCACTGATTGTATTGTGCTTATAATGCGCTTTTTATAGTATATATATTTTGAAAGCGCTAAAAAACTGCTGAAGTAATGCACCTGTATACGCGCTTTTTCAGGGCTTTTTAAGCGCTACTGTGCTACGTGGGATGTTATAACTTGATAATTTTTACAGATAATTCAAACGTTAACCAATAATTATCAGTAATTAATATATAATTACTAATTTTATTCAAAACTTTGATATAAAGATAATAAGTTAAAAATAACTATTCTACGAAAGGCCATTCTTTACAAAAAAGATTTGTTTAAGTTAAGCGTACACTGAGAGAAAAAAATGGCAAACTAATTTAATTGTAATTTACAGTCATTTTTTGTGACTACTATATATTTATAACTGTTTCATTCATGCGAATATATTCAATTATGCTATTAATAATAATAATAGTCACACGCACTGCTTTTTTTTTAGAGAATTTTTAGATTTTTCTTAATATATTTGTCAATTATCATCATTATCACATAAGTAGTTAATTATTAAAAAAAAGATTATATTGACTACAATAGTGGTCACATTTACTTGTGTGTGTGAACAATGTCTATTTTATTTATCACTTACATCTTAATTGACATTTTACCATATTAATATTCAAATTATCATAATTTATAGTACATTTTTTTCATATTTGAAAGAACTGTACATAAATGATTACTATCGCTAACATTATAACAGTAATAACCATAAAAATGGAGCCGCTAACCATAATTATTTTTACTACGCAATCGTAGTCACAAATATCGAACACTCTCTCAGTGTAGAATAAGGTTACATTAACGTTGTCAAAAGTTTCTTCAAATTTCAAGCCAAAACGAAGAACTTTGAAGCAACCTTCACACTAAAACGATCGATTCATGTCGCGATCGAACGGATTAAATATTTTGTACGTACACCATCGTCTGAGGAAACCGCCCTGCAGCTTGGCGCAGATCCCACGATGCACCCTCATTCTGAGCGGCGTTCACCGAGCGTTCACCCCGAGATCACAGCACAAGAGGCGCAAACGTGTGTTTTCTTTCTGTCTCCTCTCTCTCCAGCGTTCTACAGCGTCTGGATACGCCTTTGAGGTGGCGCGCTGCGTCATGCACGAGTAACAACCGACTTGTCAAAGTAGATTCTTTCGAGACCTCATTCAACGTCTCGCGCGTACGATCCACCTCGTCCTCGCGGCACGCGGCGTTTTCTCGCGGCGACCTCGAAGCGTTGGCTCGCGCGCGCGGCTTGACTATCAACTGGAGAAAGTCGGTCCTCCTCTCGTGGTGCGCTAAGTGTGCCGGTCGGATCGTCGGCCGTTATTATGTACCGGAGATGCTGGTACGATCTGGGTATAAAAAAAAATAGCACGCGCTTTTACTTCTCTCTTTTTTACTCGCGCCGATCGTTCGTCGTCGTTCTTGCTCGTCGCCCGAGGAAACGCTCCTCGCAAGTCAGGACATATCCCATGGATATCCTTCACGTTCACGGCCAAATGATCTCTCACGGTGGTATCAGCCAAGATCTCGCGATTCCTGCTCTCAACTCCTCGTCGAGATTTGAGCACGAGACGAGTAGGAGTACACACGGCGACTACTGCTACCTTCTCGATCGCTAGTGGTCGCGAAAATGATCGTGGGAACGATCAACGATGATGATGTACCTCAGCGAAGAAGAGGCATATATACGATCTAGGAAGGAGGAGGTACGTAAAGATGCAGATAGGTAAAGAAGAGAGAAGGCGAAGGGAGGAGAGATCAGACAAGAGAGAGATCAAGAAGGAAACAAGGGAAAAGGGAGGAGAGAGGAGAGGAATGGAATTGACGTAAAGTCGAGCGGAACCGAGGAACGTGCGTTCCTCGACGTGTATGTGTGTGCGTGTGATACGCGCGAGTGTGGACGATCTGGCGAACGTGATGCGATCGATGTGAGATCGGCCGAGACACTGCGGGACCGCCGATCCACGGCGCGACACTCAGGTGAACGATTTATTTCTGCCCCCACTTGACGCTCCACTTTGCCCCCTTCGGTACGCCCGTTCAGTGCCTACTACTACTACTGCTGCTGCTGCTCCAACTGCTGCTGCACGCCGTTGCTCCTCCATTCTTTGCGGCCCCCCTTACGGTGCTTCTACTGCGACTGTTGCACAGGAACGTTTTACCTCGCTCGCGGACCCTATATTGCTTTCGTTTCTTCTATATAAATAGAATTTGATTTTTTACTTTCTCCTTATATCTTTATCTTTTCCCCGTTTGAAATGTCGGTTTTGTGACGGTGCTCGAAATGACATAAAACAACAGTCAAAACTAATAGAAATTTTGAAATAAATAGGACGATAATTTTCCTGCCAAAATTAACGCAAGACTATAAATTGCACATAAAAAAAAAATACATACTTTACGTTATATAATTACTTGTTTCAAATATTTCAAGAGTTCATATCCGGCAAATTTAATATAAAAAATTATTACAAATTTATTTAAAATAAATTCTAAATCCTAGTGAGTTTAATATACTTCAACTCAAAATTATTAAAGTAAATTTGACTTGCTTATTATACATATAAAGTCATTTTTTTAATCAATTTTATAATATTCTTTAAGAGAAAATAATTTCTTGTTTAGAATATGTGATAAATGAGTATTTTTTTAATTTGTAACATAAATATATTTTAAGATTATTATCAAGAAAATATTCTTTCTTAAAGATAACCGTTACTTTAAAGGAAAAAAGAGAATTGACTGATCACTTTTCATAGCAGTAGAATGACATTTTTCTATATTATCATTTTTTCTATATTATCTTCTATATTATTATTTTTCTGTATTATCAAGTTTACGATATAAAATACATTTTTATGATAAAATAATTAAACAATTAATCATTACATGATTTCGTTAATTTTAACTCGTAAAATTAAAAAATAGGCAAAAATCTAAATATCTCTTTTGAACGAAAAAAATTGACATTAAATATATAATATTTCAAAATATTCACATTTCTACAACTTTCATAGTAACTCTTTCGAAGATATACAACATACCTTGTCCCCCGTATTTTTTTTTTTTACCTAGTCATTGTAGGTTTTGATATATCCATGCGCTCTTGCGGCGACACCACCATAATCTATCACCTCCTCTCGCTTTCTCCATCGCGCCTTACCCTGACGATAAATCCTCCTTTTCAGTTACCACTTCCCCACATATGCGTGGAACCCCTCATGTGTGTGGAACCGCGAATCCTTTCCTTCCGCGCTTCCCCGTTACTCGGCGACCTACCTCCCCGATGCGGCTAGTTTGGTAAGCAATAATAGCAATTCGAGGACTGCGTAGATGGAGCACAATGATTACCTTCCTGAACGATACATGTTTTACAGACTTTCGGATGGTTCATTGATACGGAGTATATTCATCATTCTAGAGCTTGACACCAAAATGTCGTGGATTTTTTAATATACACGAAATTTACTAGAAAATTGATTTCTTTTTTAATAACACCCCATAAACGTATATCATTTCACGAACTCTCTTATTACAAATTTTTAAAGCAAGATTGTCTCTTAAAAGATTTATACTAAAAATTTTAGAAAACGCAGATCCTTCTTTCGTCACAAAAACTACCGTTTAAAATATTTGCACATTACAGTAATAGTCATAATGATGTTCCACACGTGTTACTTTTAGCTGCTTTCAACTGGTATTACCGCTATTTCACCCACGCATTAAAATCTCTTCCTCTCTTTCTCTCGAAACATACGAAATTTGTCATTAATTTATTATTACGATGCGGTAAATTCTGCGAAGATCGATGAACGCTACAGAAAGGTTGTAATTGGATATCGCAGAATCTCGTAGAGATCGAGAAAGAGGTCTGCCAAAAATAACCCGGTTTTAATTTCCGCTACCGCGTTTATGATCGACAATCGCCAGCCGAGAACATCGTAATGGCGATCGAGGACGTAAATCTAGGTTAACGCTAGGAAAACTACTAGTTTTTTGTGAGAGGCTTCTCCTTCCAACGTTCGTTATACATACGTTATACATTATCTCGTCTCTCAAGTTTATTTAATTTGAGTTAGCGATGAATGATATTTAAAATACAAGAAAGATGAAGTAATGCCATATTCGAATGCAAAACAAAACAAAACAAAAATAGGAAAAATCGGAAATAAAATTAAAAGAAACCGTTTACGTGCCCGACGAAATTTCGTACGTGTTATTTTTCCTTTCAATCTTTGTCAGACATGAGTATTCGAAAGATAAATAAGGGATTACGTTTTTCTGTAAATACGCGGAACTTATTGCTTAAGTGCTATCGAGTGAATCTCGTGCGCGGAAAAGTCCACATTGCAATTTCTTAGAAGTATCTACACTCCGGTTCTCCATTTCGAGCGTTCTCGGTGATTTTACACACGAGCATTTGACTCGT